TATATATATATATATATTATAGGTTGTTATATTATCCATATTATATTTATAATATTCATTATATTTATTCATTGGCAATTGGCAAGATTTCATATCCAATTTTGTATGAATGACAGTTTCAGATATGTAGATTACTTCTCTGCAAATGCTATGTTTACTCTTCTAACTTATGCAGACATTTAAACACCAGTTTTAATTAAACATGTTCATGTATGATTAATGGTTTTAATAATTCTGACGACACATACATTAAAAATGTTTTCATTGCATTATTTTCTCTTTCCCTTCATGTGAAACGTTTTCTGTTCCACTTCATATCAAAATAACTTATTCCACAGAAAACTCATTTCATTCCCAGTAATGTAAAATTCTGAACCAAATTACATTTTCTAATTTGCATTTTAACTCAGGCGAAATAGAATTTAATAATACGCTTTGATTTATTAAGTAATTTAGAAAGAAAAATAGGACTGGAATTGTCATGCTTATTTATGTTCTATTGCATATTAAAATAATGCTAAAGAGATACAATTCCAAGCTCTTCCTTTACACTTTAAGTAATGTAATTTCTCAAGTAAAGGATGTAAGCTATAAGCTTTGATTATAGTTGAATCAATAGGAAAACCTGTAAATAATACTTCATCTGTTCTCAGTTTAATCATTTCAACTTATACAATAAGTTTCAAAATGCTTTATTTATAATTATTCTAATTTTTCCTTCAAGTTTTCTGCTAGAATTCATATTCTAATTCATTAAAAATGATGTTCCATTTTTAAAGGAATTTATTTTAAATCATAAATTGTTACTCATACTTTCATGAAGAAAAGTTTTGTAATTTATTAATTTATTCATAACTTATTTTGACATATAGGTAAAATTTATTCTTGAAATATTGTTAATTAATTTATTATTTTTTTAAGCAACTCGTTCTGAAAAGATTTTAAAGTGTCAGTCATTATTATGTCAGCCGTTGTTGATATTAATTAAATAAATTAAGAAAGTATTCTTAACATTTTTAAGCATTTTAAAACCATTAATTTTCTGAAAGCATTAAATTACAGACTTTTCAAAATAATGAGATAAATGGAGTAACTTTTATAACTGTTTTGATTAGTTGAGTGATATGTTAACGTTGACCAGTTAAGTAATGTAGTACAAGAATACGAAAATAATTAGGAGAAAATTGGAAACTGTTTCGAAAGTTGTGAATTAAGCTTAATATAGATTTCTAAAGCTTGTCTCCTCCCCGGTGTAAGATTTGGCCATCATGTTCAATTTACAAAGAAGGAAACGATAAAAGAGTGCAGTTGAAACTTAGACATTCCCCCAGAGGGGATGGAAACTTAGACTTCTTGTTTGAAATAGATATATTTTCTTTTATTCACTCCTTTATTTTTCTGATTTAAGGGAGATTAAAATTAAGTCAATCGCAAAGAATATACCTAGAGGAAGAAGGCTTGCTTCGATAGACATAATATTAACCGGTATCCCAATGCTTGGTGCTGTCCCTGTGTATAACGGAAAAAGCAACATTTAGAGGCACAGCCGAAGTTATTGAAACGGGTTTCCATCTCCCTCCCCTCCCAACCACTTCTGGGGTTGAGGAGGAGATGAGAATTTTTCTCGCTTTACTTATTGTTGGTTTGTTTTGCAATTTTGCACTATCAGTATTGAACTATGAATTAAGATATTTCTTTGAAAATACATTCATATCATCCATGTTGATTAAATCTGTTAACATCGAAAGAAAGAAACGAATCAATCGAAAGAAAGAATAAAATGGCGGCTGGTGGGAGACAGCATATGGACCTCCGGCGCTGACACACCACCGGACTGTTACTTTGTTTCCCACGTGCATTCGCTGGATCTTGGTACATACATATTACGTTCTGCTGTATCTGGGTATGTTGCTCGACCTGTAAGTTGTTTTTCTGGTTACGTATTAAAAGAGCTGAACTTCTCCTTTCTATATTATTTGTTAGTAGAATTAACAGTCAAAATAATGTTTAAAAAATTTTTTTTGATTTCATTATTTTTCATCCTGACAAGTGAAGTATTGTTCCGTCTGCAATGCATTTAGACTACATTGAATAAAAGAAATTGATAGAGATAGTATTTAAAAAGTTTTTAAGCTAAGTTTGTCTTTAAAAAACCATATCAATTTCAAACTTTGTAATATTAGTTAAAATGACAGTGTCAACATATTTGTTATTAACTGCAAATTAAGTTTAAAAAATGTAGGAAACTTACCTAATATTGATTTAAGCCTTCGGCTAAATTTTCAAGTAAATGAAAACCTTGTTTTGTGAATATTTGATGCTCTTTAAGAATTCTTAAGTCATACAAACATCTTAAAGCAGGACCTTTCTTAGAATTATAAGATCTAACCACATTTAACGAGGAAAAGTTTAAATTTTTTTCAGTTATGAAATGGAAAGTATCGTGGTGCTGAATACAGTTGGTGTTGAATATTCTTCAGCAGTACTTACCATTTTCTGATATTGATTACTTACAGAATCAATTGTTTTTTTTCCAACTAGCAATGCCTTAAAAGGACTTATTTCAAAATCAGTTTTCAAGATACTTCATTGTCAATGTTAGTTGTTTTAGCATCAGTGTCAAAAATTGACGTAACCGAATGTCCTTTTTGTAATAAATTCTTCTATATTGAGCGAAGCACAGGATATTGGATCTTCGGAAGATTAAATTCTTCTATCAATGTTGCCTTAAAAATTTGCAAAATATCTTGAAAAAGTTCATTCTCGAGCTTCTGAAGAAATTATGCATCGTTTCCCTCGAAATATGTTTCTTTTTGATAAGTTTTCTTGCTCATTAACTCTTTGTGTCTGTCTTGCATGTATTTATTAAAGTTAACGTTTTTAACATCAAATGGAAAAATACCACATTTCTTAAAATCATTTTAAGTTTTAATTTTATCAATTGATGCCTCAAAAGCATAAATAATAATGTGTGCAAAATTCCTTAGACCAGTGTTTCCCAAACTTATGACTTTTGTGTACCCTTTCTAAATTTTTCGTAACTCTGTGTACCCCTAATAAAAAATGAATGCATTTTTTACAATAAAAAATTTCACAAAAGTTAAAAATCACAACTGGCTGTTGATACCACTAAATATTAACTGTTAAATCTGCAAAAAATAGCCAATAGAAAAATACATAATCGTAAATTTTCATGGCTAGCCTTGTTTTGAAATAAAATTTTTCGAAATTTTCGTTTGTTACAAAATATTTTGCATAAGAACGCGTACCCCCGCTAAACTGTTCCCGTACCCCTAGGGGTACGCGTACCACACTTTGGGAAGCACTGCCTTAGACATTTTGTTTTAAAGATCTAACGGAAAATTTCCGTGAAGATTTAAAGCTCGAAGTAGGTCTAAATCACAAGAATACATTAAATGTATTAGGCAGAAAAATAAACCAAAGAATTTATTTTGATGAACAAAACTTGCTCATTTTTAAATTTATATGAGATTTATTCCCATCTAGATGAAGCAAAATATGGAATTTGATAGCAGTTTCACTTTGTCATGGGTAGAAGCAGTTTGGAATACATTCATAAAATGTTGCTTCAGTCATCAATTCAAAATCACTTTTTCCCATGAAATATATAACAGGTACTGATTCTGCATTACCTCGGAAAATATAGCAGGTACTGATACTGCAATACCTCGAAGAATTCTTCAGTAAGGAAAGTTTATCATTGGAGGTACTTCTTTTCCACTAGGTGAAATGTTGGCCAAAACTGTTGTTCTTTCTTTTTCTTTCCTGGGAACTATAGAATATAAATCCTTATAAATATTAGGGGCTGAGCTTTTTCTGCTTACGGGCAGAATTCAACTCCTGTTTCGTTCTCATTGCAGACGCGATCACTTTCTAAAAGGATGTCGCATATTTCTAGGGCTACGCATATTAGTAGGCGTTAATTTTTAAAATCTATCATAAATTCTAGTAATACCCCATATGCGTTTACAGTAATGAAGTAATATAATAAAAAATGTTGGAAAAATAAATAAACAATTTTGGTGTTATTTAATTCTGAATTTCTTTGTAATATTCAAAATTATTTATTCTAATTGAGTACTATTTAGAAGAAAGATACAGTTCAAGTAATTAGCTGCCATTCACATCATATAGAAGATGTAATATAAAAAAATAGTCAATTAAATAATTCAGGAAAGAGAAAATTCATACAACCATTTTGAATTTTTAAGCCATTATTTTTTTTAAAAAATAAACATTTTTAAGTAAACTAATATCTGTAACACACTAGACAAAAGGAAAAAAAACTGATTGTAAAAACATTTTATTGCTAACTTGTTTTAAAGGGAGTGAAAAAACATGAATAGCATGAATCATTAACTTTATGCAATACATTTGTCTGTCAAAAACTTTTCGTGTAAATATATATGTTGTAATAAAAAAATAAGAAATTCCCGCTGATAACTAACCTTTTTTCTCTCTCAAAAAACACATGAAATTTTTTTACTACCAATATTTTCCCTTATCTGGATAAGTAACAGATCTGAGTTCAAATAAGAGATTTAATAATGCACATAAAGATCAATTTTGTCAATCTTTATCTGAATTACTAGATCATTGTATGAATTGTTGATACTAATATAAATTAGTATATCGCATTTTCTTCCAATTCTTTATAGTTAAGCCTTTCATCGAGCCTTTTACTTTTCCGAAATCATTGCAACAGGGCCAACGATTCAGTGTTTTATGCACCATAACTGAAGGTGATCAGCCAATTAGAATTCAATGGATAAAAGATGGTCAACAGTCTTTCCAACCTTCTACCACCAGTGATGATGTCAGATCCGTCGCTGTTTCACCCTTTTCCTCATCCTTGGTTTTCGAATCTTTAGCTCCAGAACATCGGGGAAACTACACATGTGTCGCTTCTAATGGTGCTGGAACTGCAAGCCATACTGCGCCAATGGTAATTCATGGTATGGCTTTGTATCTCGAACCATTTTTTGGGATTTATTTTAAGATTGAAATTGTAGTACAAAAGAATATTTTTATGTTGATGAAGGTCTATTTATATGTTGTTTTCAAATGATCAAACTACTTCATAAGTTTCAGGACATCCGAAATATTGCTTAGGTTATAAACTGATATTCCCAAATATTTGGAGTCCCAAGTCAAAATTTTTGATGATACCATCAAAGAATTATAATGGTTTATGTTGGTTTAAGTAAGATTCTTGATGGTCCAACATGTGCTGATACTCACCATCATACAACAATTTCCGTCTTATTTTGATTTTTTTTGATGGCCTAACAAATTTCCATTATTGCAAAATGGAAAATGTTGCTTAATGTTATGATGGTAAACCATCAAGCAATGTTTGATTTTTGATGGACCAACATAAGCCTTCATATTTTGATGGCAGATGTTGCCTCACCATTATGATGGTCAACCAACAAGTTATGTTATTTTAATGTTAGACAAACAACAACAATCAAAATATGATGTTATTCTTATGTTGGACCATCATAAATCTGTCCGAATTCCTATATTGAGATGATGGTGGCTCATGATGGTTCCAACATTAGATTTCCAATAAGATATGATGGAAATTTCTGATGGTCCAACATGAACACACCATCAAAACAAGTTGCTATTCTATGTTGGAACATCATAAATCTGTCCGAACACGATTATTCTAATAGTCTTATATAATGTCAAATGCTATAAAAAGAAATAAAATTAAATCCCGAAAGAATTTAAATATGAAGTATGTGGTACAATAAATTACAAATTAATTTTATAAATTAAGTGTTAAATAAAAAAATTTGCATTAATAATTCTGAAAAAAAAACCAAATGTCTCATACTCATGTTTTTATTTAATGCTTTATAATAAATTTAACAATTTATAAAAATATCCCAAATATAAAGGCATGTCTTTGACGTAGAACAAGGCTGTAATACATTTTTTTAACTAATAAACAAAATATATAAAGTAAAATCAAATAACAAAATAAAATAATTCTTTTAAAGCTAAGTAAAGTTTCATGTAAAATTCCTATAAAACTAATCCTGTTTTAGGTTTTTATAAGATACTATCCAAATATACAAAATTAAAGATCATCCAAACATATATATCATTTCTATGAATTTAAAACAAGTATAGAAATATTTATTAGAATTTTGATGAGATATGGCTTTAAAAATGTTTGCCATTTAATATCTTAACGTCTTATAAGTTTTCTGGAACTCTCATCTTGAAAAGAAGAATCCTTATGATTTTCTGTTACCATGGAGATTATAAGTATTTCATTGGAATATTGCATTTCTCAGTTGAAAACATTTGAATGCAAAGTTTACGTGATATCATTTTTAAAAGTTCATTTCAAATCTTTAAAAAGTTACAAGATAAATGCAAAATTTCAGAGTGTAAATAAATAAATAATACAGTTTCGGAAAATTGTAACCGAATGTAAAATGTCTAACCATATCCTTCTAAATTCTAACCATATGTAGTAAAAACTATTAATTGAAATTTTGAAACATATTTTTTTCCTTCAAATCCTTGTAAAATTTGTTTAATATTTATTGTTACGCTAAAATAGATATAACACTCTGAAAAAATGCGACATATTTTTAAAATTCGACTTCTCAGAAACTACTCGACCATGTTCGTTTACGTATTGTAATTTTTTCATTTAAAATTACGATCTTTTAATTAATATAAATATTTTCATAACTCACATTTCAAAAGTTTTTCGACTTTAATTAAAAAATAATTCAAAATGATAATTATTTCTTAAGAATCGTGTTTCCCTTAGGGTAAAAGAGTTTTATAATTAAGTGCAAAAGGTTTTTTAAATTACTTTAATAGTTCTCGCGATAGAGTGAAATAAGCAAAAATTAAAATTAACATCGAGTGAAATACGAAAAATTAAAATTAACATAAATTGAAATACGCAAAAAGAAAAATCAACATATAGTGAAATACTCAAAAATAAAATTAACATTAAGGAGTCAACCAGATCCCCCACATTTTGAGAAATTCTTATGAATAAAAAATCAGTTTACTCAGATAAAGTACATTTTTGTGTCTACTTTCCTAACTCAAAATATCGTTAATCTGCACTAATTGATTAGAAAATTCGAAGTTGTCCCCGTGAACCAATAAGTTTGATTCCTAGTACGTTACAATCACATCATTACATCAAAAGTTATTCAATGTGTTTCATTTTTTTTTGGTGCAAGGTACATATGTACATTGTATGTACATAAATTTTATATGAATACTTTTAGTACATGTACTATCATAAACATATCTGATAGTTGGAATTCATATTGTAATCCTTAATTTGATTACTTGTAATCATGATTGCTTGTAATCCTGATTACGTATAATCGATTCTTGTTATGATTACAGGTAATCATGAAGACATGCAATCTAATATCATGATTACGTGTAATCAGAATAACTTTTTCGTGATTATAAATAATGGATAACGCAACAGCAAATATTTGTTGTCGATTGCTGCAATCGACGCCCAACTCTGACTTAGTAAGTGTAAGCTCATAAGTACGAGCTTATAAGCATAATTGACTCTTCACCTACGCAAAGCTTTAAAGCTTGCATCAAAGTTGGATTATTGAAGTGGAAATAATTAATTTCTACAATTATTTAAAAAAAAAGTATATATTTCTAACTAATTCTTACCGAAGAGTCTTTAACGTCAAACTACCACTACTCTTTTTGATTTTGTACGCCTTCCGATCTCTGGCAATTTCAAAAGTTAATATTTTCAAATTCAAGTTCCTTACCATCAGTTCAAAATAATTGTTTTTTCTCAAAAATCAGTGATTTAAATTGTATACAGATTTTTTTTTATCATATGGAACTATATGGTATAATCTGCAAACTATTTTAAACAATTTCTGGTTAAGGTTCATAATATATTGATATAATATATATTATGAACAATTCATTCACATTAATTTTTTACAAATCAAATTTCTATAGTTCCTGCTTCTTTACATTTTAAATTTTAAATTTTTGATATATTTTTTCATTAAAATTTCTATAAGTTTTATTACCTGCTTAAACCATTACTACTATTATAATAGCCTCTTGATAATTAGTGTCGTAATTATAAAATGTAATTAAGTGTAGCTATTAACTTTCTTAAAAAAGCAAAGACTGATATAAATGCAGGCATGATAAAATTTTTAGTATTATTGCTAGTAATTTGCTGGTTCATAAAATTTGCAATCATTTATAACTAATATTGAAATATTGAAACTAATATTGAAATATTGAAACTAATATTGAAATATTGAAACTAATATTAAAATATTGAAACTAATATTGAAATATTGAAACTAATATTGAAAACGATGCGAAAGACTATTTAATTTTTTCATTCTAAATTGCATGTGAAGGGCAATGCTATATTTTTTAATTTGCATTTGTATATTTGCTTGTACTTGCGTCATCTTTCAAAAAAGAAATTACATTTAATTTCAAAATTTTTAATTTTATTTCCTATACTTATAATTAATTGTAACTTTTTAAAGGTAGATTAAATTTAAATTTTAAAAATCCTTTCCTATGCTTATTTTTTCCAATAAGATCATTTTCGTCTTTATTACCTAATTAAGTATTTAAATGAATAATTAATTGGACCAATTAATCTGTAATGTTTAGTTAGAGATAAAAGCTTCCTATGCAAATTAAAAATTAAACAAACGCAGCTGTTTAATTGAAAATATATGAGATTAATTTGGCTTATTAGTTAAATGTTAAAATGTTTAGAAAAATAAATTTCAGATATCGAATTTGAAATATGAACTAGGATTTTATTTAGTTTAATGATCATTCTTTTATGTTCGATAACTCTAATAACTAACATTAATTTAAGTATTTTTCTTTTTGCCTTTGGAAAAAAAATCTTTTAATTGATACATTTTGAACCACATTCGCCAGTCAAAATCTATTTTGCAAGACCAGGTAGAGAAAATGCATGAACCGATGATGAAACACGTGTTCCAGAGAATATTTTAGATTATTTTTATAATCTACCCTTTTTTAATATTTAAAATGGAACATAGAGGCTAGCTATTTTAAAAAATAATTAAATATTTTTCAGTCTAAGTAATTTTGAAGAATAATTAAAATCAGTGCATTTTAAAAATATTATTAAATTATAAAAATACAAATGCTGATTACTATGAATTACAGACATAGTTTTTCCATCTTATTTAGCAACAGAACATTCTCGAGAGACTGCATAAGTTCATCTGTTGTTCATCTCAATACAAAAGTTGTGCATTGTAGATGGCTTTTTCATGAACTTGCCCAATTGAAAAACACAAGAAAATCATTTTACCCATTAAAAAGTGTTGAAAATACATTGTTGGTTTAAAATGAAAAATGTGAAACAATCATAAAAACGAAAATTAAAATTATAAAATGTGAATGTTACGTTATTCTTTTATTTATGTTGTATTACGCTTAGAGTTTCTTATATATGTGTGAAGAATTTATCTATTTGTTTTATGAATTCAGAACAACAGCTAAGAGTTATCTTTGCGACATTAAAGTAGATGGCAGCACGATTGATAACCACTTTGAAGAAACTTCACATTTTATTTTCAAAAAAGTTTACAAAATATATATTTTGCTTAGTAAATTTGGAATATTTCAAATCTAAATAGATTTTTTATTTGTTTTTAGTAGCAATTTTGAAAAAGAAGCTGTAATACAAGAAATTTATTTAGATACTTATATTCTGTATTAGCATTAACATATTAAATAAAAGCCTTTTTAACGAATCTTGCAATTATTAATAGTGCATTCAAGGAATTCAAAACTGAGTTTATTTCTTATTAAAATAAAACGAATTGCGCTTATTATTTCGAGCTCATTTACTGCAGTAAACGCTCGATATAACGAGTACGAAAAGTCTGCTATTGCGTCAATTATTCCCACTATCAAAATACTAGTAAAAATACGAAAATAGTGTATTTCAACGCTACATTGCTAGATTTTCACTACTGCGACCATTTTCTTTTTTCAAACGAAACTACATTTTCTGCTGTTTAAGTGAGGAATACTACATAAATAACGCTAATTGGAAAGCATTTTTTTTTCGGGTATCAATACCAAAATGTGCAAAACGAATATCGTTTCACTTTATTTACTGCCTTCAATATTGACTTTCTACGCTTAGCCCTATGCTGACTCTCCATGCTTATAAGCGTTTGGGCAATAATTGTTCAAGTTACCTTCCTTTTTTTATGTAAGGAACTTTTGAATTTTGTTTTTGAACCTGCAGCACACTTCAAAAGAGTACGAGTATTTGCTGACCGCATGCCTACCATACCCCTCATCATTTATATTTGTTAACCATTTGCCAAATTACTATTGAAATCAACGTTCAGTATTATCAGTATTTCAGTATTATTATTATAGTATCAACAAATATTGAACAAGATTTAATTTTTAGGTTTTTTTTTATTCTGCTAAAAAAAAAGTGTATTTCCTTTTGACGGTATGCTCACTGTGACCATAATTTCATTTCGTGTTGCGAATAGTTATTATAACGGGTCTTAACTGTACTTTGTACTGTACTCTGTTTCCATAAGTTCCAGATCCATAGAGTTTCCTTTTTTTAAAAAAAAATCATGCCAGCTAATCGAGTTGAGCAAGGAAAAAAATACAGATATGTATCATATTAATTTCAAAATATAATAAAAGAAATATTATACTCCTTTGCCTTTTACATTTCAAATTACAGATACGCGTTTTTGTATTTTACTTTAGTTTGAAAATAGAATGAAATTTTGAGAAAGTTTTATCATGAGCCAACTGCAGCAGGCTGATAAACCTGAGTCCCTGCTTAGACTGAACTCATCTTATATCTCATACATATTATTATTAAAGTTTAATACTTAATTTTGGCCAACCATTACATATATCTTTACATTTTAGTTCCACCAAGATGGAGAATCGAACCTGGTGATACAAGTGTCACCAAAACTCGATCTGCAGTTGTAGATTGCCAAGCCGATGGATTTCCAATTCCGAGAATTCGATGGACAAAAGCAGAAGGTAGGAAAAAAAATTATTTACATTCGCATTTTTAATAATGCAGCGCACATGGTGAAAAAAGTTCTGGAAAAATCATAACTCTGCTAATAAACCCAAAATATACCGTATTTAAGGCATTCATTTGGTACATTTTCCGTTCATATGGAAACGGTTTATTAGAAATTCTGGTTTTCAGAATTATAGTTCTAATGCCTCGCATTTAGTAAGAAATACAAAACTGAAAAATAAATTTAGTCGAATAAATGGTTTTTATGCCTTTTTCTGAGATATCGTGATAAAATTAAAACATTGTACAGCATGTACGAAATTCGATCTCTTACTATAAGACCATTAATTTCCCCAAAATTATTACTAACGTGCTTAAATAAAAAGTACCGTACTTTTTAAAATTCTCAAAGAGCTAAAAACAGGGTAAATTTTACGAAATTTTGGTAGTTTTAACTATGCTTTTTTCTTAGTGCATTAATTGAATAAAAGTGCATTTTGGAAAACAAAAGTTTAATGGTTTCACTTCTTAATTCGTATTCAATATAATTCAGAATTTCAGATCTAGTTTTACTCATTTTACCATAGATTTTTGCAAGTTTTTAAAGTTTTTTACAACATCTTCATTCCTCTATTAAACTTGAATCCCTGAACAAATATAATGCTATATTTCTTTTCTAAAGCCTATTTTTGAGAATCTTTCAGAAACACATTTGTTTTCTAAACAATTAAGATCAGGAAAAATTTTTGGACATTTCTCACTCTAAAATGACCATTTTATTTTGAAAAAAATATCCTTTCTTATTTATTTTTTTACCATTTTGGGCTAGAAGTCAAATCTTGTTGGTAAATTCTTTATTTGGCGGAAAATCATTTGCTTAACTTCTCATTTTTTATGTATCGATTTTCTTTTACATTTCATTGTTTCTCACTCCTTCATCAAATACGTGTTATAAAAATCTTAAGAATATTTTTCTTTTTTGAAAAATCACAAAATTTCCCCTTGATTTAATTAATACGCTTTCTAATATTCGTCTGTGGTAATACATAATTTGCTTTTCAAATATAGTTTTTCTAAATACAGAGGAAAATTACAGAAAAATATAATTTTAGAAAACAAACCACGAAAAATTAAAAAAAAAAAACTAGTTCTTTCATAAAAGTCATAAAATGATTCTCGAACATTATCACGTGTAAAAAATTTACATACCTCTTTCTTGTTACGTCAAAAAATATTTTCATTTTAATCAATAATTCTGGTAAAATATTCACTAGCGTTTGCATACCACGCTTTTATGTGTTCTGTATTAAAGATTGAAATAAATTTCATAAATAGTTTATTTTTGAATATTAAGCCACATCAGGAAACTGATCGATTTAAGCAGTTTTGCAATTTTAAGTAGATATATACTTTAAAAAAAAGTTTTAGAGTCGTTTGCTGATATTAAAATTCAAAGAGAATACAAGAGCAACAGGATTAAAGTGAAAAAGTATACATAATATATGACAAAAATTATTTTAATTTTCATTCAGAATTTAAGAGTAAGCTTGAAAATTTTAACAGAAAATAGTCTTAATAATTATTTTTCAAAACAGAATTAAATAAATTTATGGAAAAAAATGTCCATTCCATACCATATGAAAATCTAAAATCAAATCATTGAAATCAGCAAAACATAAATAAATTAAGGAATTTGCCCTATTATACATAAAAATAATAACAATCACATAATAATAATAACAATCGTATAAAAATAATAGCTATTGAATAATCATTCAAACAAAAAGCAATAAGTAACAAAAATTACGCACTTAGAGGGTTAAAAACCAAGAAATGTCAAATTTCGATGAATAATCAACTTTGAAATTAATTACATTTTGATACAGCGATAAATTTCATAAAAAATAACTACAGTAATAATATTAGTAAGTCTAAAATTTATTTTCTTTATAAAATCAGTTTGCTCATTATTTTTATTCAGTAAAAGTGTTTTATAACATATTATGAAAATAAACTTGTTAAATATTTATTTAAAAACTAAATTGATCTATTCAATGGTTTTTCATTTCAGTGATCTTTTTTTCTCTCTCCACAAATCATTGATTCACTTACTATGTCTATTTACGTTTGTTCTATCACTGATTTGTCGATTCACTAATTCACTGATTTGTTAATTCACTAACGCTTCGATTAACTTTCGCCTTTTTTTATATACATTTTATTTGTATTTATCCAATAATTCATTCATTATAACGGTTACCAATTGTATTTTTTGTGCAAATTATTAAAGCACGATAAACAATATTATAATGATTTAAATATTTACTAATGATGTAAATATATAGATATTTAAAACTATTTTAATTACTTCTGTTACTATTTTATTCATTCAATAATTAAATCATTTGCTGATACACCAATTCACTTATTCTACTTATTAATTAGCCGATTTACTAATTCACCAATTTTCTAGTTTACTAACACTATAAATCTCTGATTCATTTTGTTTTCTTTTATTATTCTTTTAATCGATCACAGAGATAAATAACTCACAGAAATGCTTTCAAGTTCATGGCGACAGCCTTCCTAGACGCACATAGGTTAATAAATCTATAAGAAAGAATGCAAGAAATTCTCAATAAATTATATTTAAATATTAATTCCTCTTTATTAAAACTTCCCATAAAATTGCCTAACCTAATCTCCATTCACTAAATTAATTAATTATGTTTATCATAATAAGAAGATGTCTTTTTAGGAAACCTGTTATAATTAAAAAGTCATCAATTTTAAGATAATGTTCAAACAGATGGGTGATATACCTTTCAAAAAGAAAATACCTTGGATAATCCCTTTAAAGAAATGACAAGGTGTCAAAACTACTTCCCATTTAAAACGTTATGACTATTTAGATTAGAAGGACGTCATATAAGAGATAAAAATTTCTTTCTTTCTTATAAATTATGATTTAGTATTTATTGTCAGTTGAAGCAATTCATTATTCACTGTTAATTGACGTTGATGGTCCACAGAGAGTTAAAAGCGAGCTACGTTTTGATTTATGTCTTTGTTTTTCTCGGAAGAGGGGGCGATAAATAAAAGATGCATTCGCTAAGAATGCATTATTCTTTTTTATGCGAAAAAGATTTCTCCTTAAAGCTTTAAATTGATTTTTAAAGTATATGGTAATCCCTTATTTATTTCATGAAAAATATTCTAAATATGATAATATAATTTTTAAAGGATTTTTCCGTATTTTTTTAAATGAAAGAAGATTAATTATTAGTCGTTTTCTCACATGCATGGAGCATTTTTTTTTTACAAAATATTTAAAAGCATAGGTAAAGTTGAAATTTAAATATCTATTAATTAAGACTTTTACTTTCAAGAAAATAAACAAATTTCCTTCTTTGACAGAAGTAATTTCCATTTGTTACTTGAAACGAGTGTTTAATTAAAAATTTATACTAACGTTTGTTGTAGAAAGAAACTGCACTTAAACATTAGAGATCAACGTTTTTAAAGTAGCGTGTAGTTGAGATTATGTAAAAAAATATAACTGAAATTACAATATCATTATAACCTTGCTGAAAAACACTTTATTTTTATAAATAAAGGTTCTTATTAAATCTTTAAAGTCATTTTTAAAGTAAGTTGTAAATCCAATGTTTTTTATGATAAATATTATAAATATGTCATTTTAAAATATTATATTATTTATAAAAATATTTTTTTAAATAAAGCATCTTCAATTATAATTAAAGTAAAGTAAATAGAATAGCAATAATTATTAAGTATTTTCTTATGTGTATATTGTTTTCTTTCCATTGATATTTTTCAAAGTTAAAATTAAATTGCATAAAAAATACTTATTAATAATTAATTATGAAATTCTTCAATCATTCATGAACCTGTTTTTTCATATTCGAGTATTCAAGAAAAAAATTACTAAGTTTTACCCAACTTCATCCCTTGACTAAACTATTTTCAGATACTGCGTGGTGATATTGTGTAACCAAACAATTTGTATGCCGTTAGCAATAGAACAGGAGTATGACTCAAACTTAACACATTTGGTTAACGTGTAAGACACAATGTAAAACTATCGTATATAAAACAAACTAACAAAAATCACAATAAAAGAAAATGCATTTTGAATCTAAATAGAGTATATACAAAAAAAAAAATTATTATTTCCTTCCGTCTTTCTCTAATTCCATATTGCTTATAGGTATACTGAGAAGAAAACGACCAGAATTTGGTAAAATTTGCAATGCTTATAGCTATTAAATCTATTGGAACACCAAAAATCTCAGAAAATTTTACCGAAGAGTTTTGGTAATGATTTTGGTAAAACTAACATGAAAATATGATTTTATAATATACTATAAAATTTGGAAAATGTAGTAAAATTTGGTAAGTTTTTCATGATACCTTATGTAATGTTTGCATAAGTTTAATTTTATCACATATCCTCGAAGAAAAACGGACCCAAGATAAACGTTGCCGTTATTCGGTATCAAACAGCGATCTTTTCAGAGTGAAGAAGTAATGGCTGTAGCTGAAGAGGATTCTCCGTAACCCATGTCCTGCAATTTTGCGTATTTACAGAACCATACAAATGGAAGAGGACTTCGTCAGATCACGGAATATTTCAGGACCATTCGCTGTCAACTTCCATCCGGGCAAGCAATCGTAGTGCAAAAGATTCGCGTGCTTCCAGGTCAACAAGTAACAACGTCTCTACATGAGTAATCTTGTACGGGTAACAGCTCAAGATGTTCCGTAGGACTTAACGCAACGTGCTGACTGGCATACCCAGCATTCGGCCACTTCCCTGTGCACTGCTGATTCCAGCATCACTGTCCACTTTTCACGTCAAATGAACCGGTCTCTTGGAATTTGGCAATCATTTTGCGCAGACCATTTGTAAGTATTGAACCCGATTTTACGTTTTTTTTTTTATTTTTTTATTTTTTTTTTGTCCGAAACTTCTTAATAGCTGTAAATGCACACTCATCATTCTTATTAAAAAGATTCAAGAACACAGCGCGATCCTTTATAGTGCTTATCTCCAGACAATGTGAACTATGGTTTTGTCAACTATTTTTTTCCTTTACCAAAATTCAATTGTCTCACAATTGTTCTGCTAAAATATCAGGTCATTCTGACGAGTAATTTTAAAATTATTCATTTTTGACTTAATTAATTTAGAAAATTTAAATTTTGTAAACTTTATTCCGCATGTAAAGTGCATAATAGACAATTATAAAGATAAATAACAATATTTAACTTTGTTATTACAGGAGATGTTGCATCAGAATTTCGACCAATCAGCAGTAGTTCTAGATTGCATGTATTCGAAAATGGCTCCCTTGTTATTCACAGCGTTGAGGAGGGAGATGACGGACACTATCTCTGTCAAGCTACAAATGGCATTGGTCAAGGACTTAGCAAAGTCATTCATCTTTCCGTTCACGGTATTAAAACATAACCATTAATTGGTATAAAACAGTTAACAAAACCTAAAATTATAACTTGAAAAATTATTTGAATCTCGATATCTGTTGTAAATAGTCAAATTTTAAGGAGACAAAATATTTTAAACTATTACTGATATTTTAAAATAATACTGATATTTCACTTTTTTTTAAAAAGAGAATGGGAAACATAAGAATGATTTTGACCTATTTTCGTATTATTTTGATCAATTTGAAATTGCCTGTACTCGTTATTACATTTGTTTGTGACAAAATATAAATTTTAACAGTAATAAGCAAATAAAGAAAAATAGTTTTCAAGAAAATAAATAAGTAAATAAAATCTCTCTTGCGCACTTCTTTTAAATCAGAATATTTTTAAAATCTACATTATGAATTATCACGTAACGTTTACAGTTTTAAACCGGCAGTTTTAACTAAAGATTTATATTTTTAAATATAAGGAATATTATAAATCGAAATAAATGTGCACTAAAAATTAAATACAAACAAAACGCAAATCTGAATTTCGAAATATTTCTAAGCAGATTGAAGCAGAAATCCGTTGGAATATTTTGAATATAGAAGCAAAATAAACAGAATATGTTTAATATCAAAGCCAAACCAGAGCCAATACCAATGTTACATTTGCTGTAATATGAATGCTGAAAATATACAGCAGAAAGAAATAAGTACGCCACCTTTTTGGAAGAAAATACGTAGTTTAAAATTTATTTCTTTTAAATTTAAGTCTAAATTTATTTATTTTTTATCTAATTTTCGAATAAAAAGTGAAAATTGTAAAATAATAAATACTCTTTCCTTTACTCTATGTTTTAAACTTTTCAAATTACATATGCAAATCCTGTTGTTACTGGTATGAAGTAGCTCGATTCATTTGAATAATTTATCTTATTGCTTCTTTATGCGTTGTTTTTACCTTGCTAAAATATTTATAATGCACAAAAGCATATATTTGGCATAAAATTTTAAAAAATACCATTATATTTTGCTTAAGATATTTTTTCTTTTGACTGTGCATAATTTTTTGCGTATCTGTTTGACAATTTAATTTAGAAAAAAATGTATATTTAAACCAATTACATTATATAACCATTAATATTATACAAGAGCAAAAAATACTTAATTTTAAGGAGGTAAATAATTAATTTTCAGATTAGTATGAGTAAACAAATTTTTAAATTAGACTGTAGGGGACTCAATTTTTGGGATTATTCATCTTAAACTAAACTTTTTACACTCAGTTTTTTATTTTTATTTTGAATTTAGAACTATTTTAATTTTTTTTATAGTGGCTGCTCATTTTAAAAGCAAATTCCGAGCAGAAAGCGTTCGTAAAGGAGAAGACGCTAAATTGATTTGTGAAGCAATAGGTGATCGTCCGCTCCAAATTACATGGTTAAAAGACAAGCAATCTTTTGAACCACGGACGGATCTAAGGTATGAAAAGTTCAAATTTATCTGCATTTTTCTACAGTACTGAATCTAATTATTTTTTAAAACGCAATGCTTATTTTAACTTATAAAGAATTTAGAAAAACAAATTAGTTTCGCATTTTAGGAAACTAATTTTTATATGACTGTATGCAAAACCAATGATAGTATTAATTCACTTAAATAATTTTTCTGGAAGTAAAGAAATGTTTAGGAATTAAAATAAATGTTTTGAGAAAATTGTTTTAAAATCTTTAAATTTACAAGCTTATTTACTTTGCATGAGAACTTAAATTCTGATAAAATATCGAAAATCACTTGCTTTTTTTAAAAAATATGCTGATTTCTTATGTTAGAAAGTACCAAATATTTCAGATGCATAACAGTTAAGTACTGGAACAAGTAAATTCTTGTTCCAGTACTTTTTAAGTACAGTAACAAGATTTTAGTTATTCCAGTACTTAAGTGTTGATCCAGTACTACTTGACATATTGGTTTATATAAAGTGAAAATTATTAATTATAGAAAAAAAAGATTTTTATAATTATTCAGTTTATACTGCACAAATAATTAATTCAAACATTTATTTGAATTTGATTTTTTAAAGAAGTTTTAAAACTCTGCGTAAGTTTTCGAAATTAATTTCGTAAAATTGTCCATCATTTTAGTGACATTCCTTTCTTTGTAATCACAACTATTTTTTGCATCAATCAAAAGTATTTAGAATTTTTACCAAATTCCTTAAAACTCAAAGGAGAAGAAAACAATGAGCATTTAATAAATTAATGCTTCATCCACAATTCATTTCTTTCCATTTAAATAGTACTAGAAACACTATCAACCTAACTAGCCAACAAAGTTATTTAACCTACATATATACCAACGTCCCGGATCCTCGAAGAACAACCAACAATATGAAAAGTTTTTAAATATGGGATAATAGGCATGCATTCTGTTTAGAAAACCTTCTATTACGCTCAGCTAGTCCTAAATTAGTTGCAAATATCTTCATTAGAGGGCAATAAATTTTTAAAATTAATAAAATAGTGCTTAAAAACGCCCACTAAATGTTAGAGCAATGCAACGCGTTCTGAAGACAAACTTAGCAGTCTCTCGTGCAAATAAATTTTTATTGGAAGCAAAAAAAAAACTTCTATATTGTTTTTAAATCAACAGCGTCATCTGTTGAGGAACTTTTTAACTAATTTTGAAACTTGGGAAGAATAAAGAGGTTCCTATACTCTGTTGCAAGTTAAGAAAAAAGCATTATTTTTATGGAGAGTGTCTGTTTGCATCTAAGAGCACGCAGATTGGACGCTAAATTTTAAGCGCGAACGTATATCTATATTGCCAACTTTTCAAACAATATTGAGCAGCCTAAGTTTTGCTTGCTTTTTTTATTAATTATTATAGTTCTTAACAACAATAATCAACTTAAAATAAAAAGGATATCTAAAAATCGTAACAAATATAAGTCTGTCTGTTCTTAGTTGAAGAAAGCGAGAAAAGAATAGTAAATATTTTTTTCTTGCAAATGATTTTCTTCTACAGTGAAACAAAAGTAAAAATTCCCGCATCAGATATGTTAAGAACATGAGTTGGAGCTCCCTTGTCTTCTGAATTGGTTTCAAAACTACAAGGCTGCATAGTTGAACATTAGAAGTTGTAAACCTTAAATTGGCTGTTAAATGATGGTTATAAAACAAAAATAATAAAAATCCAACGATTTCGCTATGCTATATAGTTGTTTCTTTTTCAAGAACGAATGTTCCTTATTTTTCGAATTATGTCGCCAAGTCTAGAATACCAGTAAGGCTACGAAACTATACCCTTTTTTTTAATTATTCTATATCATAAAAGATATCATGGATTAAATTTCAACCTGACATTTTTACCTCTTAAAAGCATATTTGTATAACTTGATAACGAAATAAAACGGAACTATATACAGTCGCGGATTGATAGAAAACTTAATTCGAGATTCGGATATTGCGTACTGCCAAGACATACACATTATATTTCTACCATTATCTGCCCTGGTTAGTATCAATAAACAGTCAATATGTGCTTTTTATATTTATTAACAAAACAAAATAACAAAAAAATAACAATTAGACTGAAATGATTGAAAACAAAATAATATTCATGAGAATAAAACAAAAGGAGCTTTCGAGATGTATTCCTTCCGGCATGAGTGTATTGAGAACAACTAAAAAAAGAATATTTTGATTGGCGACGGATTGATTGGCGACGGACAACTAAAAAAAGAATATTTTGATTGGCGACGGATTGGCTCCGCTGTAAATTAATTAATTCGTAACACGGATACTCACATAAATCCCATACCTCAGCAGTCTTTTCTTAACTTGCAACGTAGTATAGTAAGAATGCAGAAAGCATACAATTCTATCTCCTTTTAGTTTTTTCTTTCATACCATTAATAATTTTCGGGACACTGGGTATTTAATATACGGTTTTTATTTTACAGATATGAATTAACAGATACAGTTCTTGGAGGAGGAACAACATCTCAGCTAACGATTCGAAGAGCAGATAGACGGGATTCAGCACTGTATACATGTATAGCTTCCAACGCCTTCGGACAAGATGATACAAATATACAGCTAATAATGCAAGGTTAAAAACATTAAATAACTTAATTATACACCATCTAAACATGTCTTCTAAACACTGATCCTTGAAATACATTAATCGAATATTTGTCGAAAGTAATTTAAAAAGAACCTGCTAAGTTGTTGGGAAAAAAATTTTTAATAACTGAAATCTCTATAACAAATAATGCCCTATCTCTAAATTAAAGTTAGATTAGGGTATTTAAATGAGTCTGTTATAAATTAAAATCTAAAATTGACAATTCTCACTTAATATTTTTTATAATTATTATAACTGACAGAAATCAAGAAATACTTTAGGATACATACCATTGGTGAAAGTAGTGTAAAGATTTTAATTCCTTCTGTAATATAATCAGTGATTCTCCATATTGATAAGGATCGTAAATATGGAAATTAAAACGGTAACAAGACACTCTTAATCTACACCTCCAAGAAGAGAGAAGGCCTCCGCACGGGTTACCATATATAAGAAATCCGATCCTTTATTATTCCAAGCGTAGTGACATCTTTCGTATATTTCCCCACTGTGCAGTTAAGTAGAACAAATGAAGTGACGTCTTTCTTATTTTTCTCCACTACGTAATGTATGCTCGCTACGTCGGTTTACTAAATTTATCCATACGGAGGTCTTTTCCCTTCTAGGTGGTATTGTCTTAATAGGATTTTTTTTTCAATTCCTCTATGTTTAAAATTCAGATACTAATTTTATAAATATTATGCACTAAAAAGATTCATGTGTATTTATTTTCAACTTGTTTTTACTTCTTTAACTTTATTATTTTAAACACTAGAGCCACCTGATGCACCACAAGATGTCAAAGTTCTAGAATTCGGTAGCAGATCTGCTAAAATAGGATGGGCTGCGCCTTACAGCGGAAACAGTCAAATATCTCAATACATCTTACATTATAAGGAAGAAGGAGGTAATTGTGTGAACTGTTTCTTTAAATCAAAACTTTATTTAATTGTCTAAAGCAGTTTGAAAAGGCATGCATAATGCAAAATTATTTAAAAGTAACAGAATTTGATGTTTTAATGCTTTTAAGAGTTACAAATTTTTGTATTAAAATATTGATTAAGTAATTTATTGTATCCTTTTAACAGTTTTTGCTACTTTTTATGGTTGATTGCTTATAAAATCTTTATTTTAAGACTTTAAGACCTTTTATGCTCATCTCGAAAATTTCGTATCCATAATTCGATATCTTTAGTATCTTTAGATATCTTTCGCAACAGAACTTCTTATATCGCTATCTAAAAATTCTCGCATCTAACAGTATTACCTACAGTAAGAAATGATCAACTCCCGAGCTTTATTTATTCATTTATTGCTTGTTTGAATGCTTTATGGCATTTTACTGTTTTTCTATTATTTGATTTTCCTAATTATTAGTTATTTTATAGTTGTTTCCAAAACTAGCTGTAAAACAATGCATTTCAGTCTGTTTTATGTAATTTCTTCATTTATTTATCATTACAGTTTGTTTTTCCAATTTTTGTGATACTGAGTTGGAAGAATTTAAATTGTACTTTTTATACGTTTGTGTTTTTTAATTCATTATCACAACATATAAAAAAATATTTTAACAAAATTACTTATTTCGTATTTATAAATTTCGTGTGTTGATTTTACATCCCAGTTATAGTAATTATGTGTATTTATAATGTTTCATTTTATTTCTATTTAATAAAACGATAGTATTTACTTAATATTGCTCACATTTTATTATTCCTTGTTGCAGATAGATGGCAGCAGAAGTCATGGAATATTTCGATTTCAGGAACAGAGCATAGTGTCGTCGTTAGAGGTCTTCTTCCCATAACTTTCTATCACTTCCGACTGTATGCAGAGAACGCTCTGGGAAGAAGTGAACCCAGCAATGTTGTTCATCTTCGAACTGACCAAGAAGGTATAGAACAAAAATTAGAATGATTAAGTATTACTAAGAATTTAAGAATGATACTTTGAAAAGAAAATTAAAAGACTTCCTAAAATCATACAGCTCAAAATTTAGTTGAGCTTCAGAATGAAATAATTATATCTGTTACAGAATGAAAATATATAAGATAATTATAAAAAATAAAATAAATTTTTTTTATTATTTAGGTTAGGCATTTTAGGTAATCACAAAATATCTTTACTCTCTGAAACAGTGTAGACGACTTCAAACATACAATACAATGGTTTAAATAATTAGAATTCATTGATAAATTAAAATATTTTAAGTAATTATGTTTTCCAGCATTTATACGTCTTTTTTGCTAGGATGACCTCATTTCATCGAAAACATTAAAAAATACTACAAAAGTTATTTTTACTAAAAATTTGGGAACAGTAAGGGGAGGATTTAGAATGATACTTCGTTCTATTCGAAAGAGAGGAAACATAGCTACTATATCGTTACATCAAATAGCCTCTTATGAATTCTAAAATGTAGCAAATCAATCTTTAAAAATTCATGATAAAGATATTATGATAAATAATTTTGTTGTAATAATTAATTAAGTTGTTTCATAAATAATGATAAATAATTAAGTTGTTTCATGACACTAATAGGTTATATTCCCTTTTAATTAACTACTGTTCAAAATGTGAACATATTTTCCCCGATTACGAAACCTGACGAATATTAATGACTTTGTTTTACCTTAAAACCGCAAATAAGGACTTTATTAAGTATTATGCAAATTATTTAATTGTTTTTCCCCTAATTATTCTTTTAAAAATCAATTCTAGGTGAATTCAAGAAGTCATTATGTGTTCTACTTTATTTAATTATTATAATTTTCTACTTTCTTAACGTGTGTTCAGAAAATATTAAAATAAAGTTCTTTAAACAATATTTTGTTTCCATTTATTAAAATTACCGAATGAAAAGAAAGATTTTAAAGTCAAATTTAAAACTATAAACTTTAGTTTTAGAATGAATAATTTCTTGATAAGAACATAGAAAAAAATCAATTCTCAATTTCGATCATTTTCAAAAATCAAATCAATTCTCCACACATAGATTTTAGTATAATTGATACTAAACCGAACTATAAACGTGACATTCAAGAAAAGAAAAAAGTAAAAAGTAATTAATGAATAAGATAACAACATAGTTAAAATTTATTTTTTAAAACAAGCTTTAAATAATCATTTTTTTTCACGGAAAAAAAATTTTTTTTTTTTTGATTATTTAAAAAAAATCCATACTAACTTTAAAAAAACGCACTAAATAGTCTTCAGCATTTCGACAACCTCAAATCTGGTCTAATTTTTATTAATTTTAATGAAATAATTTATTTTTTAATTATTTTCGTCTACTTCAAATCTAACAATAACATACAAATATCATCACTTATATTAAATATTATCAAACGTCCATTTCTTCCCTCATGCATTTTACAATAAAAATAACAATTATTATCCTCACAGACACACTAAAGATGGATAGGAAAAAATATTTTTTTCAGTCACGTGACTGTGATCACTATTATATATAATTGAGATAAATTACAAGGCTATTGAGTTAAACCATCTTTTTCTTTAAGAGGGAAAGTAAAGAGTCATTCAACAATTTCTAAAGTCTTCGCTGTCCCTATGCAGGATTGTTTACTAAATAAAGTAATCGCGTTAGAGCTTAAGGCAACTGAACAGATTTCAAAAGGTCATTTAAAAAAAAATAATAAAAATCAGCTCACAATATAAAATAAGAAATATAATTCTCTCTTTTCACTTTTTTCGTATTAAAGAGACGTTATAACTTTAAAAAAATCGAGACATATTTAATTTTCAATGAGAGGTTCACTTTTTAAAAAATAATTAATTAATCTTTTCACCCATAATGTAGTGAAAGGACATGCCTAGCGCTCATAATAATACAAAATATTATTGATATAATCAGCTAAAATTTGAGTTAGAATTGACAGAAGACTCATTGGATTTATTGAAACTACCAGGTTTGATTTATATATATTCTTTTTTCCTTTGAAGATTGACTCCAATTTTTCTCTAAAAATTAACAGTTGAAATGAGACTAAAGTAAAAATTTTCGGAATGGAAATTTAGGCGTTCAAAATTTAATTTACCATCAAGCAAAAAATGAATAAATGAATAAAAAGTTTTAAAAAAATACTGTTTTGATAAAAATAATCCTAAGATTCTAATTTTAAAAATAAGTTCATATCATTTCCTCATTTTTGAAATTTAAAAATCTTATTTCTTTTTTAAATTTGTATCTATTTCGTAATGAAAATTTAAAATATATTAAGTATATTTCATATTCTTAATTACGTAACAAAAAACAGATTTTTTAAAGATATCATATTCACTTTTCGGTAAAAAAAGCTAGATTAAAAATTAATTTTTAAGGCAATGATGTGTTTTCAATTGTAATTAGTATTCGCATTAGAAATATATTTTAATTTTGTGAATGCCCCCCTACTATTGAAGTTCATGTTGTAGGGAAGACTGGCTTTTTTTTTCTTCGGAAAAAAGTAGTTTTATAAAGTTACTATGCATAAATATTATTGTATCAAAACTAAAATTAAATCAATTAGAGAAACAAGGTTTGTCTAATGCTTCTCCCCTCTATCGAAGTTTATATCGAAAAGAAAACTGGCTTCTTGGAAAAAAATAGTTACATAAAATTATTATGAATGAATATTATTGCATCAAAACTAAAATTAAATCAATAAAAAAACAAGATTTGTCTAATGCTTCTCCCCTCGATCGAAGTTTATATCGAAGAGAGGCTTCTTGGAAAAAAATAGTTACATAAAATTATATGAATGAATATTATTGTATCAAAACTAAAATTAAATCAATAAAGAAACAAGATTTGTCTAATGCTTCTCCCCTCGATCGAAGTTTATATCGAAGAGAAAACTGGCTTCTTGGAGAAAAATAGTTACATAAAATTATTATGAATGAATATTATTGTATCAAAACTAAAATTAAATCAATAAAGAAACAAGGTTTGTCTAATGCTTCTCCCCTCGATCGAAGTTTATATCGAAGAGAAAACTGGCTTCTTGGAAAACAATTGTTACATATAGTTATTATGAATGAATATTATTGTATCAAAACTAAACAAATCAATAGAGAAACGTGGTTTGTTTAATGTTTCCTCCCTCTATCGAAGTTTATATTGAAGGGAAGACTGGTTTTTTCTTTGAAAGTCCGCAAATGTGATGAGTTTTAACGAAGGAACTTAAACTGCATTAGAAATAATGAAAGAAATTGCAATATGGTAAATTTACCCAAAGCTGCTGAGCTTAATGAACTGTACATAATAAATATAAGAATTCCCCTTGCTTTAGATTTAAAACGCGCTAACTACTAAAGACAACATCGAGTTACACAATGCGACGATTGCGGTATGCAATTCTATGGTTTGATACAAAAAGATAAAGGTCCGCTATTTCAGATGTAAGAAATTTCCCCAAGTATGAGAAAAGATTAGTAGTTGTTGTTGTAGTTTACTTACGTCGCACTAGACCTCCACAATGGACTATTGGTGACTGTCTGGGAAACATCCCTGAGGATGATCCGAAGACATGCCATCACAATTTTGATCCTCTGCAGAGGGGATGGTACCCCTGCTTCGGTAACCCAACGACCTGCGCGTGAAGTCGAGCACTTTACGGTAGAACAGTTTAACAAGGACCAATACCGCACACCCTCGGTCCCTACGCAGATTGATCCAAGTGGTCACCCACCAGCACACTGACCACAGCCAGTAATGCTTGACTTCGGTGATCTGAGAAAAGATTAGTAATAGTTATTGACTATTACCAAGATCTCCTTTCTTGGCTTTAAACATTCAATGTATTGGCAAGGGAAAATTAAAAACGTCTAAGTCGCTATTAATTTTTCTCTTGCCAAAAAATTAATAACGATTTAAGTTTTAAAGTCAAAACATTGCACCAATTACTATGAAACTGTTCTCGAATTTTATGTAAATATTTTAAGCAGTTGTAGACAGACAAACTATTTATAGAACTGATTTTCACTCGAAAAATTTTGCACTGAGAAAAGTTTCAATTGATTATTTCTACAGATAAGAGGATTGAAGGAAATATTATTTAATTTTTGAATTATAAAAAGTATGTTTTGCGTATGCTAGCATGCCAATCTTTAATTTAAATTAACCAAATAGAATTAAATACCAGTAAGCAAGCACTTTCTAAATTATTTATTTTTATTACATTCTATTTAATAATCAGATTATATAGACTAAATAAATATTGGTTATAAAAAGTTATGAGGAATAAATATTATTATACCAAAACTAAAATTAAATCAATAGAGACGATTACTTATTTTATCTACAACGCATTTAAGAGCAAACAGTAAAAGCAAATATTCGATGCATTTTAAGCTTTCAAATCAATATTCTTTATCAACTAAATACATTAAATTAAATAAGATGAAACACCGGAATTTTTGTTTCTGGGAGACTACTATTGTAAATCATTGATCTTGTCTTTAACTATTGATTTCTTAAATTAAATAAATGTATCTTGAGAAAACTCGAAAAGAGCCTATCCCAAATAAAAACAATGTAGTTTGCAGTACAAGTTTATTATAACTTACCTAGATCTATTTTCAGATTAATCAGGTTTAGATGTCTCGGTATTTTATTATCCCATCAGTATTTTAGTCTGTGCCGAATTAAAACAAAATAAAATATCTTTCTTACTTTAATGTATGAAAATAATTTAGATTCAAGAAAATATAATGTATTTCTTTGTAAACTTGGCTGAAACAGCAAAAATGTAATTTTTACCGATTTATTATGAAATATTTCAACTTTAGATGCAATCTCATAAAAAGTTTATAAATGCAACCATATCTATTGTATTTGTCTGTATAACACAAGAAAATGGAACGACTTAATAACTTTTGATTTAGTCATTGAAC